TAATATACCAGCAATAATATCGTAGCTAATGGCACTTGCATCTCCTTGTGTTTGGGATGAGATTTTCATTACTCAAATGAAGGGCAAAAATGGAAGCTGGATGGCGAATGGGGTGGAGTGAACTGATTATTCCTTGTTTATACTGCCATATCCATTCTCCGGTGTTTCCCTGGGAGGCTCATCCCTGTCGATTGCATTATCTGGGCTTCATTGCTTGTGGCTTTTCTGTTCAGGTCAGCCAGTGATAGGCATTTGCAGGAGACTGGAGAAGTGCCAGAGGCATTATAGAGGTCAGGGTGCTTTTCCCCCAACTCCTCTGCTCTGAAGCCATTCTTCTGGCAGAATCTCTGCCTGACTGTATCTGTGGCCAGGCAGCCCCCTCATTGGTTCCCACTCTCTAGTTTCCTCTGCTGGTCTCTTCCTTCTGTGGGGTGGTAATGGTTTTTTGCTGTGGTGCCTCACCACCCCTACCCACATTTCTGCGAGTAGTCCTTCCATCAAGCCATCTGAAGCAAGCTCTATTTCCTGCTGTAATCTGACAGGTTTAGGTCCATTTCCTCCCCCATCTCCTGAACTCCTGAAAATTAGGAATATTGTCTTAGTTATTTCTGTATGCAAAGATTATCTGGGCATAAAATATTAAGTGAATTAATCAAAACACTGCTGAAGATCTGTCTTCTTCCATGAATCTTGCAAAGCTAGAATCAAGAGCAAATTTAACCAGCAACATGCTCTTTATTTCTATTTCCAGGAAAGCAGTCCAGATTCTTTCCATATTGTTTCCTCCTGTGGTTCCCAGAGCATTCAGGTATGGCTCCAGTGTCCCAGTGTAATACCTGGCAGGGAGACCCAGGCAATGCTTTTTCAAATTAGGATGTTGATTACAATTGCATGTCCAAATGCATTATTTTAAATGGGCTACATATCCCTGTATGTGAAACCTTTCACACATAATTGCTAGTACAGTGTATCTAACAATTTGCTCAACCCTTCAGGCTTCTAAGGTGCTTAATCTCTCTTATTAAGTGAGTCTCTACTAAATAAGCATCCCTGTCTCCTTCCTCTAGGCTCTGCTGCTACAGATAAACAAATCTGTGCTCTGGAGCTGCTGGCTAATACATCATCACTTCCAGCTGATTGAAGGTGGTCAGTGCTGGGAACGCAGACATAAGGGATGTGGGCAAGTTAAATATGTGATGCAGAGGTCAGATAGGGGAGAGATGGAAGGCACAGGGGAGTGCTCAGGTCAGAGAGTTTGGGGAGAAGAGGTCAGAATCTGAACAAGGGGTCTAAGGTCATGGGCAACAAGAATCCAAGGTCTTCTAAAGCAGGGTCATCTTTATGCTTCCTTTCAGAGCACCCCTCCCCCACAATCAGGATGTAAGAACATGAGGCTGAAGTACAAGGGAGAGGGTGGAGATCCTGGTATAGGCCGAAGATTAAGGATTTCTGTTTGCACTTCAAGTTTCGGCTACTTTAGTTGGGTTAAACTAGAGAGTCTTATTTTCCCTAGTTCTTACTAGTAAGTGATAATGCATTTACATTTTTATGAGTATATTTATTCTTCAGAGACTCCCAGGATGTGAGACTTGGCAGAATTCTTAGAAATTATTCATATTACCTTCATTTTATTTGTGAGAAAGTGGAGGCCCAGAGATTGTTAAGTATTATTATTAGGAGTACTTATGCTATAGACAATAAACTAAACTCTAATAATGAAAACAATTTATTGGCTCATATAACTGCAAAATAGTGGACAACAGCTTCATGTGTGGCTTGATCTAGCTGCTCACTGTTCAACAATGTAACTGAGGTTCTGTTTATTTTCCATTTGCTTTTCATTAGGATTCATCCACTGACTGGCAACCTAGTCTCTATCCTTGTGGTCACGTGTGGCTGCATGAATTCTAGACCTTATATCATTGATAGCGATAGCAGGGAGAGGAATCCTCTTTTTGTCAGAAGTCCTTGTAGATGTCTTCTTAAATCTCATTGTTTTGACTGGGCTTCATGTATGCCTTTGAATTCATTTCTATAACCAAAGAAATAGGGTAGAGTGATTGCTTTAAACCCATCAGGCTCAGCTCCTGGAATTTGGGGTCAGGTTATAGAAGACCACATGGGCTAGAACAGAGAAAAAGTGGTTTTCCAAAGAAATGTTGGGGTTCTGATGGTGGGACAATGGAGGAATAGATGCTGGGGAGGATGACTGCAGTTGTCTAAGGGTAATGACTTACTCAAGGTCAAGCAGTTGGTTATGAGCAAGCTGGGGCTAAAATCCAGCTCTCCTCACTCAATATTTGAATAGCTATCTAATGGATGGCTATATAATCCCATTTAAGGTAATATACAGGACTGAGCAAAAGTAGGTTTACAGTTGTTCACATGGAAAACAATACAATAATTAATAAATAATCCAAGAATAAACTGTTTAATTAATCACAACTGTGAACATACTTTTGCCTACCCTATATATATTAGACACCAAAAGGGAACAATAGATTTGCTTATATTCAGATTATTCTTCAAGAGCTATGATTATAAATAAGTACAAAAACACACTTTGTGGAAGGTATTAAGAAGTATGAATTGCCAGTTATAAAAACAGTCACCAGGATATAAAGTTCAGCATAGAGAATATTGTCAATAATATTGTAATAGCTATGTATAGTGTCAGATGGGTGCTAAACTTACCAGGGTGATCATTTCATAAGGTATATAAATGTCTAATCACTATGTTATACACCTGAAACAAATACAATATTATATGTCAACTGTAATTGTAAATATATATATAGTTACATATATATATATTCATATATATATATGAAACAATTCTAAACTCTAAAACAAAATTTCATATATATATATATTCATATATATTCATATATATATATATGAAACAATTCTAAACTCTAAAACAAAATTTTAGTATCTTGAAATAACATAAAACTTCCAGGCATATTCTAGGGGAGAAAACCCAAAATGCACCTTGCCATTTAGTCACAATGAGTACGATTGTCTGAGTTACCTAATTTTGCATCTCATTAAACCATGAAGGCTTTCAGGAGAAACTGAGTAATTTCAGAGATGAGAATTATATTATTTATAAGTGCCCTTTAGTCCTACTGAGGTTTTAGCAGTCAGTCTTCTGGGACATTTTCTGGAATTGGAATACAGTTTTTGGACAAACTGAGATATCTTAGGCATGAATTTTTGTTTTTCATATCTCTGAAAAATGCCTGTTAATGTCTCTTAATGAGATTCCTTTCTCTTATTCAGGAATTACAGAGGCAAAGAAGAAGAAAGGAAGGGTTCTGAGACCTGCCAGGCAGTGTGCTGAGCACTACAGATGAGGAAAAGGTTTTAGTCCTTGAGAAACAACATACAAGTTTAGTGGACAGGCAAATACTTAAATAAGTAAAGTACTATGGCCTTAAGTTCAATAATAGGTGGAAGAATAGAGGGCTTTGAGAACACAGCAGGTGACAGCATGTTGGGAGCAGGGAAGAGCCAGGGAAGGCTTTCAGAAGGAGGACAGTTCCTTAAAGGATGGCGGAAGTTAGCAGGGGAAATCAGGGAAAGATATTCTACACAGGGGACTCATGAACACTGAGGCATAACATCTTACAGTGAGTTTCCATGAAACTCCAAATAATTCAGAATGTAAGGGCAGGGAATGAGGAGAGAAGATGCAGGAGAGGCGGGTATGGGCAGGGTTGTAGAGCTTGTAGGATATCTTATGGGTGAGAGGAAGCAGCTTTAAGTAGGGACAGACAGGGTTTGTGCCTTACACATATTTCTCTGCAGTTAGGTTCTATGGTTTTAGGCAACTCTGGTTAACTTCCAAAAAAAAAAAAAAAGGAATACATTGGAGAGATAGGGGATCAATCAGGAAACTGAAAGAAAAGCTGCAGAACCCAGGCTCTGAAAGGAGCTTCTGGGGGCAGAAATAGCAGGAATTGACTGGCAGTCTCCTTGGTTTGTAAGAATCAGGTCCAACCACATGCCCAGGCTTCAAATTCCAGATGAAGGATGTTTTATTGCCCCAGCTTGAGGGCACACCCAGCTTGGGCCAGGTAAAGTCAGTATCTTGATTGGCAGTCTCATCAAGACTAGATCTTCTGAGGGAGGGTGGATTCTGAAAATAAAATAGGGTGTTGCTACCATAAGAAAGAGGAATGCCGGCCACGTCACCTAAAGCAATGGGTGTCCAACCCACCAGATGGTTGGAAGCTAGATTTGAAGGGGACAAAAGATGAAGGAATTAAAAGGCAAAAGATGATGGAGTTGTGGAATATAGCTGTGGTAGAGTGAGCAGAAAAGAACTGAGATTTAAGGATATTTACGGGATAAAAATCAGTGGTTGAAACTAGAAGAGGGAAGAATCAAGGGTTACTCCCAGGTCCTAGCATACAATAACAGGTATGACTACTGGAGAGAAGGTAGAGGAAGAAGAGGGGAGAGGACAAATTGCTTAGGACACAGTGAGTTTGAGAAACCTACTCAAGCTGCCAGGTGGTTATTGGAATTTGAAGCTGTTTTCCGTGTAAGGGGACATGGAAAACAGCACTATTTAAAATTGGCTTGCCAAGGAAAAGAAAGTGAAACAACAGGAAAAAAAGAAGAGGAGGAGAATGAGGAATGTTCAGGGTCATAGAAAGCCACAGGATCAAGGAAAGAGCAGTTTTGAGCTCGGTTGTGGGTAGAAGCCCCATTCTAGGGAACTAGTACATATAAGTGAGAGACGAGGAAGTACCGGTAAAAATGTGTAGGCCACTCTTGTAAGAATCTTGGACGAGAAGGCTGGGAAGCTGCATAGTAGCCGGAAGGGGTACAATGTTAAGGGAGTTAAGGGTTTTTTTTTTTTTGTAATTTGATTTTTTAAAAATCAAGATATAATTCACATATTATAAAATTCACTCTTTTGAAGTATTTTATTCAGTGGCTTTTAGTATATTAACAAAGTTGTTCAATTATCACTCCCATCTAACTCCAGAATATTTTCATCACCCTCTCCCCTCACAAAAAACCCAACATTCATTAGCAGCCACTCCCCATTTTCCCATTTCCCCAGCCTTGGCAATCCCTAATCTACTTTTTGTCTTTAGACTTGCCTATTCTGGGCATTTCATAATTGGCCTTATACACTATGCGATCTTTTGTGTCTGGCTTTCACTTAGTTCCCAACGTTCATCCATATTATAGCATGTAGCAGTACTTCATTCGTTTTTATTGTCTGATAATATTCCTTTGTATAGTTAAACCATAATTTGTTTATCCATTGAATATTCAATGGATAAATGAATGTTCATTCATTTGAATATTGAATGAATATTCCGATTATTTCCACTTTTGGCTATTATGAATATGCTATGAACATTTGTGTACAAATTTTGGTGTAGATATGTGTTTCTAATTCCCTTGGGTATACACTCAGGCGTGGAGTTGCTGGGTCTTAGTTTGGAGAGACTTGACCTTGGGTATATACTCAGGAGTGGAATTGCTGGGTCTTAGTTTGGAGAGACTTGCAAGCTGAGGGTACCGTGGGGACCAGTGAAGAGGGAGGGGAGGGAGATACAGAGAGGGTCAGGGGTGGAAGAGGTAGGGGCTGGAGAAGAGCAATTTTCTTCAGGGTCACTCACTTTCTCTGTTGGCATACCCTAACGTCCTCACTTCGTTTCACAAATACTAGACTCTTCGCACATGCACCACACTTGGTGACCAGGGGGCAAATCCAGTGCGTGGATAAAGCACCCTTAGATCCTTTGTGGACGCATCCTTCAGGTTTTCTGTTGCAGTTCATAGTTTTGGGATCCCTTCTGTGTAGAGCCTGTCACATTCCGGTTTTATTTTCTCCCGTAGATTGGTTCGCAGGTGAATAAGAACAATTTACCATGGAGCGTGAGTCTAACACCTGGTTCCTTAGGTCATTCCAGGCTCCCAGCCGTCCAGGTTAAAGGAGGAGGACAGATACTAGCGGTCCAACACCACGAACACCAGCAGTCAGCTTTTTACATTCCCTTTGGCATCCGCCGCGCACGCGCTGATCTTCTGCCAGGCAGCGGGCGAGGCGTGGGCGGGGCGTGTGTCTCCAGGGCCAATCGGAAGCGAGCACCCCCGCCCTCCAGGTCGGTGGACCCAGCTTGACCCCGGCGGTGGGCGGAGGAGGCGGGGCCAGTCGCGCAGCAGCGGAGGGGGCGGGGCCCGAAGCCTGGAGGCGGAGCCTAGGGCTGTCAGTCCCGCGCCAGCCGCTGCCGCTACCGCTGCCGCCGCCGCCACGGTTCTTTGCCTTCTGTAGCCCCGGTGGCTGCCGGCGCTGCTGTTCGCTGCCTGCCGCCCTGGCATCCCAAGCCGCCTCCCGTCACGCTGGCCCGGGGCTCAGGTAAGGCTGGCCGCGCTGCGGAGACCTCGCGTCCTCCTCGGCATCGTTCAGTCGCGCGGGCGCCCCCTCCGGGCTGTGTCAGCCCAAATGCTCCCCTGGCCGCCCGGGGGCGGTCCCGGGGGGCGGGACGACTGTCTTCCCATCCCCCACCCCCCCTTCCAAGCGCCACGCCTGTCTCCGGGGTCCCGGCGCCAAGCCTCCTCATTCCCGCGTGGTTATGGTCCAAGCTCTCCCCGCACCCCTCCCGCGCCGATTACACAATCCCTGGGTCTGGAGGCGGGGGTCCCCTTTCGAGCCTCGGTCCCACACCTGTTCTCGCGACGCGCTCCCAGGCAGAGGGCAGAGGTCCTGCGCGACAGCGGGGCCGGGGAAAGTTTCACTTGTGATCTGGGTTTGTTGACATCCAGAGATGCGGGGAGATGGAGGCTGAGCAGCGAGGATGCGCCTACATGAGTAGCGTTCTCTTTGCCCCGGGGTGGCCCTGGTCCAGGTTTCCTTTCCAGAAGTCCTGCCGAGAGCCCTGCTCTGGGCCCGGAGGTTGCTGCAGGACACACCGGGTCTCGCCGCCGCTCCGCTAGGGAGCCGTGGCCCCTGGATTGCTGCAATCTGGGGACAGCTCTTCGCTCTTCCTCCTTTCCTAATTTAGCATTGACATTTAGACCAGGTAGGCGAATTTACTTAGCATTTCCCTGACACTTTATATTTGTGAGGTGCTTTGCCATCCCTGATTAGTTAATTAACAAGGCGAGAAAGCAAAATAGACCCTGAAACACATGGCTAATGCCTTTAGCAACTTTAAGGATGCTTCTGGCCAAGGTGCTGCTGGGAGAGCTATTCGGTGTCTTCTTGTTGCCTGATCAGGCTTTGGCCATGACAAGGTCTTCTCTGCCTCTCTGCTTATGCTGTTTATTGAGGGTTGCCAGTTTATGGTGGGTTATTTTGGTTTTCTTCACTTAAGCAAAGGGGTGGATTAAAGGTGTTTCTGCTGAAGCAATCAAGGAAAAAACCCCCTGAGATTCAAATAACTTTGGATACTTGTATGCTTTACCAGGCTACCCCTCCTGTGCAGAAAATCTTGACTCTTTCTGTTCTTTCTCCATCGTCCCGGTAGTACTATCCAACTGGGTAGGAATTACTGGTTCCTCATTTAGTCCATAGACCTCTTGCTACCTGCAGTTTATAGACCTGCCTAGGGACATCCTCTAAGAGTGAGCTTAATTAGCACTTTTATCTGCCCATTAAGCAATACAGCTTGAACTCTCTTGTAATCAGGCTCTGTTGCAGTGTTGAATCTTTAATAATATCTAATTCATTTTAATAGTGTTTCTATAATAATCTTTCTATTAGTATGCCAGTTCTGCAACACCAGTACTTTTAGTAAGAAGCAGCAATTTACTAGAAATATTATCATGGTAAAAGCAATTCTCCAACAGATTTGCAGCTCGCTTTACTTAGATAATTACTACTAGAGGCTGTTAGGGTTTTTTATTCTTTGGTGCAGTAGGTGTTACAATGCTTTTGATCTATGAGGTCATTATGAGGTCATTCCTCCCTGGGAGTTAGGGTTCTAGTCACTATGTCACTTAAATATTTTTGGAATAATATTGTAAGAGATTTTCCCCCATGCTGATTTCTTTTTGGACAGGGTTTAGAGCTAACAAGATTTAGTTTGGTTTGCCAGCCTAAGTTTTAAGAAGGATTGTATTTGGGGGTATATATTAGAGCTATGATGGTGATATTTTTAGCACATGTACCAGACACTATTTTTGATGTTTTACAGATACTAATTTTCCTGACAATGCTTGAAGGAAGGTTGTCATAACTACTCCATGTTTCAGATGATGAAACTGAGGCCCAGTTACTTGAGCCAGGGGTCACAGTTAAGTAAAGGACAGCCAGACTCTAGCCAAGGCAGCCCGAGTTGAGTCCAAGTGCCTAATGATTGTGCTGTCCTGTCTCTGTAGATGAGTTTTTCAACAGGTATTTTATTTCTACCTGCTGCCAGTTCGGCATTACATTCAACACTGTGAGGAAGAGGAGAGTGCTTTACAGTGTAATAACAAACACTGGGTTAGGAGCTTTTGTTCTGGTCTAAACTCTGCCACCAGCTAATCTGTGGTTTTGAGCGAGATACCTGATCTCCCTACCTTCCATTTCCTGGTTGGTGGAATAACAGCAATCTAAGCAGGTTAACCAACTAGCCTTTACCTCCTGGGGAGCTGGAGAGATGAGTCAGTGCATGTAAGAATTCCTCCTCCCTAAGGCACAGGATAAGATCAAGTGTCAAATGAGTGGGGTGTGTGCACACTCAGCCTTGCACATGTGTCATGGAGAAGGACCAGAAGCCATTCACCCTATACTGCCAGTCGTGACTTTGGGAGTGCAGTGGTTGAGAGATATCATCTTAAACACTTCAGTATTATTTTATTCTGTTGCCACCAGCATTGTTCCTTTTTTAATTAAAAAAAAAGACAACCCAAGAAGAAGTCATCCTATAAAAGTGGGGTAACCACATGCAGGGCTACGTGAGGAGCATTTGTGAGGGACCATTTGGCATCACTTTGCAGAAGGCTAGGGGTCAGAGGAGGGCAGGATCTGAATGGCAGACCCAGGAGTTCCAAGAATCATGCAAAGTCAAAGTTGAAAGGAAATTTTAGGGTCGCTGGATTCAGTACCCTCCTCCTCTTTTCTCCCTCCACCATCTTTCTAGTAAGTAAATCCCCTGTGTGTGCACCCGTCCCAGTCAGCACTCATCCCACTCTTGCTGGGACACCTTCTGGACCAAACATTTGGTGGGTGTGCTTCCCATATCTGTGCACCAAAGAAGCTGGGGTTGTACTTGGCGATAGGGAATGGGAAACTGCAGAAGGATTCTGAGCCCTTTAGGCTTGTGCTCTTCAAAGATCACCATCGACGTGAAACCTGGATTAAGGGGGAATCACTGAACCAGGGAGACCAGTTAGGAGGCCTTGGCCAGAATCTAGGATTGAGGTGATCCAGACTGAGACAGGTGGTGGCATGGGATTGTGGAGGAAGGAATGGACCCAAAGGATAGACTCTCCTGCACCCCTGTCCACAAGCATCAGAGAGGAGGGGCGAGTCAGCATCTCCCTGGGGTGAGAGGGGTGTTGGGAGCACCACTGAGTGGAGCTGAGGGTCTGATGGGGTGGGAGGAGAGTCAGTTATGTACATATTATCCCCCAGAGTTGATAATAGACTGTGGCTAATGTAAGGCCTCTGCAGGCCAGAAGACAAAATTTGTTTCTTCTCAAAAAGGGAATGAAGCATTTAAATATAGTAGGAAATTCCCTTTGCCTTATGAAGAAATATAAGAGTATTTTCCCTGGGGTGTTACAACCTCTTATACCGGCTCCTTTAGCCTGCATTAAGCTTCTTCATCACATTGGGAATCTGGTGTTATTTGAAATTGTACCAGGAGGACACCTTGGCAGTGCTTTTTTTCTGATTTTGTTGGGAAATCTTCTTCTGGGAGATTCTATTTTCCGGTGACACCTGTTACATAAGTGCCGGAGGGCTGGCACCTTTCATAGGGAGTGCTTGGAAAGTCATTAGAAGTTTTTCCTTCCAATGCAGATTGTATGGCTCTTCAAAGAGGGCCTGGGCTGAAATGATTACCCCACTGACAGGAAAACAGGATAATTTGAAGGAAACAAGACTTACCCAGGAAACCACAAAGGCAGAAAAAAAGTTGCAAGTGTTGTAAGTTCATTTTTCTCTTATTTTTTGTGTTTCTGACTTAGGATGCAACATTTCTTAATATTCATATTTATAAATTCATAAGTTGAAATATATTATCTAATAGCATATAGGGAAATAAGCTGTATAATCTCAGGGTTTTTTTTTTTTGACAGGACAATATTGATCTTGATTTTTCAATATCTTATAGGCCAGTGCTTCTGAAACAGGAAACTTTCCCTCCTAGGGAACGTTTGGCAGTGTTTGGAAACATTGTGGGTTTTCACAGCTTCCGGAGCCGGGGGTGGGGGGTGTGGGGGGGTGGGGGGTGGGCGGTAGATGATAAAACAATTTGTTATTAGGAGCAAAGTGAAGTTTAAGGGAAGAGGAAGAAGAAGGAAATCTAAAGTATTTTTTGATGCCTTGAAAGAGAGAACAGCATCCTCACTTCTGACACCCAGGAGGAAGACCCCACAAGCTGCTGAGTGTGGCTGCCACCCAGGAGCTATTTCAATAACTGGATTGCTCAACACAGTCGTTTGGAACAGGAAGTTGAGGTCCTTGCAGTGGGACGAGGCTTAGGGTAGTTTGTGGAAGCAGAAGGGTTTGTAGGCCAAGAAGGGAAGTTTGGTCCTGCCAGAATAATTTTGCAAAGTTCTAGGGAATTTTTCAAAGGTGATTTTGTCGGGGACACTGAGTGTCATGCTTAGAATATCTGCTCTGGGAGTGCACGAACCTTCTAGGCTGTTGGTCAGAGCATTTCCCAGATCTGACCATTTCTGTGTCCATGCACAGAGTGGAGAGTGAAGAACGCTTGGTTTTATATTCAGGTTGTATCTGTGTCCTCCCCAATCCTTCTTCAAAAGCTTTTCTATTATGGAAAAATTTAAGCATATACAAAAATCAAGAAGAGTTTAACGAACCTTTATTTATCCAATGCCCAGCTTCAATGATTGTCAGCTCCTGGCTGATCTCTTTCTGTATCCTGCTCATCTTAGGCTCCCTTCTCTCTTTTTAAACCTAGAAATTAGCTTAAATAATTACCGATTGCCTGCCAACTATGAGAGACTTGGCAGTGAAGGAGATATGGGATTTTCTCATGCTTGGGTCTCCCTGGAGGAAAACTGGTGACGGGCCTGGATGATCATAACAGCCACAAGGGCCTGAGACATAAGAACAGGCCTGAGCAGACCTGGGACTGGGGGCTCCACCCTTTTTCTTGGTGGGAAAGTGCAGGGGATCAGAGACAAGTTTCTTTTTCTTCATTTTCTTCTTCTTTTTTTTTAAAAGCTTCACAGGTAAAA